TCGGGTGCAAATCTGAAATCTCCTCCCCGCTTCCCGGTCCCCAGTGTCGCGCGATTAAGAGTTTTCAGAATTTAGTTTTAATGAGCCAGATTTGAGTAAGTCTTAATAGTGGGTGCTGCTTACATTCTATCGTGTGCTTCACTCTTTGAAAATATTTGCTATCCTCTACTGAGTCGCGCGCGTTATAAGGTGTTCCCTTAGTTCGGTTTTTTTGCTCTATTCGCTGCATTTGTTAGTGATATCGTGGGCAAATAAATCATGTATAATAACCCTTTTATAGCTCCCTTAAGTGATCGATGACTGAGAGAGTAATTATCCTTACAATATCAATACAATATCAAGCTGACAAGTGATGAGATTATTATTTGATCCAATACCAAATTCTCAAACATCATTAAAATTGTATGGTAAACAGTAAAAGGGGCTAAAATAGCCAAACTTTAATGTCGATTACTCCCAAATTTACTGACATTGAATTTTTTAAAGTGAAAGCGTAAGGACCAGTTCACGAAAGCAATATTCTAGAGCGCGGAAAATAAAGCCGTGTTGTGCGTCAAAAGGTTGAGAAATTCAGACGAATATGCACAAGACTTGATATAGATTTAATGCTGAATGGTTCTGAACCCTAACTGGATTTTCAGAACTGGGCTTGCGTGTTCGTCATCTCACAGCAAAATTATTACTGTCTTGTGACTGACAGAAACAGGTGATGAGAGAAGCAGGTGGCGTGTAAAACTGACGCTCAACTCGTCATGATTTAGCTGAGTTTTGGGGTTAAGAAATAAATTTTCGTCGAGAATCTCAGTGTGAGTTGAGCTTCATGTGAAGCGAAAGATGTTAATGAGTTCGACTGACGAATTTTTCCGCGAATTTTTTCTTTAATGTGTATCAGGAACTTCGGGATAGAATTGGCCAGTACGGACTTGTTTCAGTTCACCCGTCTCTGCTTTTAATAGCGTTGGGCACATCTCCACAAATACCATCAACGGTTACTGAAGCGTGTCCAACGATCAAAATATTGACCTTTGTACTGCAGGTTCTTAACTATGGAATGATGAATGCGTAGAAAAGAGCGAAACTATTCGTTTAAGTAATACATCCTTGAGCGCGCGATGCTGTTCGCTAAAGTTGTAAAAACTGATGTATCTACTGTAACCCTCTTGCTTAGTTTGTTACCTTTTTTCCTTAGATCTTCAATTTCCTTTTTCTTTTGCATTGATGAATTCAAACTTTTATTGTACTCTTAAGTTGCACGAAGCATCAGTGAAAGATAAAAATGTTCCGCTTTTCAAATGACAGAAACAAAAAAAAGGTGGCGCCTTCCATCCTTTTCTTTCGTCTTGCTAGCGCTGAATTGCATAAAAACTCATTTTAAATAAAAGAAAAGCAATTAAACCTACACCACGACAAAATAACGATTCAACAATCACTAATGAAACTCAGTAAAATGCCTTTAAGACAGCCCAGTTATCAAATATTTTTTGTTCACCAGAGCTGTAGAAAGTTCTAACGATGGATTAGGGCCAGGGAATGACAAGAACTTCTGATGACATCCTAAAACCTGACTCATTACCGCGGTTTGCTTTTTAAAATAAATCAATTTTGGAATGACTTACTATTTCGAATTCATTTTTTTATCAAATGATATGAATTTATGTGAATGCGAATTTATATGAATGCGAATTCATAAACTTTATTTTGAAAAATTGCGTTGTAAATCATTAAAATGTAGGTATTTATTACAATCGTAATTGAACTGCAATATTGAACGGCCGCCAACATTTGCTTTCTTTACTAACAAAATGAAAATTGATTTTCAGTATGTTTTCCAACGTATTTATCTTTTACAAAACAGAATTTAGCTAATGTTTCTTATTTGTTTGTACTTTTATCGCAAAAGGAAGTTTCAGAAAGCTTTTGACTAATGAAAAACAAATTAAAGCTGCAAACCGCAAAGCAGTCAGTGACGCATTACGGGCGCACTGGTAATCTCCCGTCTTGTCTTTCGCTTCTCAGGCAATGAGAATGTCCTCTCCTCTCCTTTTTGCAGCATGAAGAGGAATTCACTTCTATCCAATTACGTCCACATTCCCTTTTTTCTCCACCACTACCCCCTTGGGCTCCTTGTTTTCCCTTCAGGTTTGTTTGTTGATCTAAAATTTACTTGCTAACTCTCTCACTCCATTCTGATTCCGCTCGTCTCCTTTTTTTTTTTTTTATTATTATTATTATTATTATTTTTTTTTTTTTAGCGACGCACTCAAAGAACCACAAAAAAGAAAATAAACTACTCTGAGCGGTGCTTATCAACGAATAAACCGGAAAAAAGAGTATATTTATAGAATTCGCACTTGACTTACACCTTGCATTCGCTGAAGGTGTCGTCGAAGCGCAATGCACCCCAGTGGGTTCCTAAGTTGATCATTATACATTATGAATTGTATGCGTCACAGAAATGTTAGTCAGACCAATCGTGCCTGTGTGTAATGTACCCGCGGTCGATTAGTGGTTAGTCGCTCCTATTCATCTCGTTTCTACTCGTGTAGTTTGTATTTTCGAGGATTAGGGACACGTATATTTAAAGGCGGCTGAGGGATCAGAAAGTTTAAAAGTTATCCTCACAAAAACACTAAAGAAGAAGTGCGAGGTAAGTAAAATTTCATCAGCTGACAACTTTTATTTGTTTTAGAAAGGTGGTGTACACTCGGTAGGAGTCTTATCGCTTTCTTGTTGAAACAAACTATCTTGCATCAATGTAAGTTAATTCATTCATTGAAAAACATTTGGATATATACTCGATCTTGCCGAATATATTACTTAATGCCGCCTTTTATCGTTTAGTTCTGGCATGTTGAGGTCAAAGTACATCATACCCATTTTCACTTACGAGAGTGAGTCGATGTACTCACCTCCTTTGCGTCTTTTTAGTTAAGTTATATCGCTATAGAGGTAGTAAATGTGTTCAGATTGTACGAGTCACAAGTGGTTATGATAGCCATGTTGATTTCGAGACCTTTTCGTCATTCAGATTTTACGGTTTGAAACGTGTTTTAGCGCGAGTGAGACAGATGACAAAGTTCTAGTCTTTTAGTATTTAGTATTAGTAATGTTTAACTGATATTTTATTACTTTATAAACAGATTTAGTGAAATCACGTCACCGAGGGTATAAATATAGAGGTGACTTGCGATAAAAGTTTTCCGAAAACTCTCACACTCGTGTCTTCTTACCCTCAACGCAACACTAAATCAAGAACACGAAACCATTCCCACAGCGCGCGACAGCCATGCTTTTTAACGCTCAACTTGCGCTTTCTTGTGTTGATAGCTTCTCTGACGTTCTCTACTTAAGTTTTTCATAATATTTCAAGAAAGAAATATGGTCAGTTATTCAATCTTTTGTCCTAATCATAAAAGATGCATGTCACAAACATGCTGTTTTGATCTTTTTACAGTCACAAGCCGACAACAGAAGAGATCGATTATATTACTGAGGATGATCAATTTTTTAATATAAATTTAACTTTTGTTCAAACTTTTGCTTTGTCTTTGTCTTCCTCTTCCTCTTAAAGTGAAGAAAGAAGGAAAGCAGAGAATAAAAACCCGCAAAAGACTTCGAGATTTTTAGTTGCTAAAGTAACACATACAATCATAAGAATTCGTTTTTCTCGCAAGAAAAACCATCGTAGTTTTGTATCAAGCACACAAATAACGAAAGCGGGCATAGCCGATTTTGGAAATGACGTTTTCGCTTGTGATTGGCTGACGCCAAAATTTCCAGCTGTATATTAGTTTTCAGGGGTGTGTTGAAAAAACGTGAATGATCGGAAAAATAAATTATAACAGATTGTTCCCGCCGAGAGGTAAACGCATACAGTTTCCATGTGCTCACTGATCCTTATACCTACTGTTTTCAGTTATGTAAACTACGGCCTTCCGCAAATGTCAACAATTATCTAACTTCATTAAAAAATACTTTCGAATGAATTCAATGTCATCATAACAGCCAAACAAGATTTCCAAAATTCAATGTTGATTCCTTAATTTTATAGATTGAAGTTTACATCCTGCCAGAAACATTGAAATTTTTTGAAGAATGTTGTTTCTGTTCACAATCACAATATACACAAATATTCTACATTTACGCATTATGAGTTGTCTGTTGGAAAAAAATTGGGAATCTAAACCGTGAAAGAGTCCAATTAGAACGGACTTAACTCTGTAACACGCTATGGGCAAACATAATCTTAATCCCTCAGATTCTCGCTCCTTCCATCTCATGTTTAAAGTATTTGTTTGGTCTCCTGGCTAAATTTTTTCTTGGGGGCAAAATTTGCCTTAAATTTCCTCTCTCTGCGCAGCTACAAAGATTAAAAATCAAGTTTGCCTTCCAAGATTTAGGCTCTTTACATTTTGATTTTATCTCTTTATTTCCGTTTGCGTTTTCCTTTTCCATTTTCCGCCTAAATCAGAAAACGGCCAGGAAGTTGAAGTTTGAGCAGCTAAACATTTATTTATTTTAATCTGGTTATTTCAATAAAAGTCTTCTCTTCAAGTTTAAGACTCGTGTTTTATGAATAAAACAGAATTTAGGAGAATCTTTTTTAATTTTTTTGCTGCGATTTTCTAGAGTCACTTCACTTGACAAACCGTGTAAGCGCCGATTTTTGAAATTTCGCCAATAAAACTGACATAAATATCAATTACTAATCATTTATTCTCCGTGTCAAAAGACGTTTAAACCTCTTACGAAAATCAAGCACTTTTCTGTTTGTATTTTCTATTTCTTGAGTCAGCAAAAGCAATTCAGCGTCTTTTCCACCTGTTCTAATTACCATCTTAAAGCTATTGGAGTGGGAAGGGTAACGATATAAATAAGCTGTCATCCTGTGTCATCTGAAATGTCAAACCTAAAGAAAAGAACAAAGCAGAGGATGACTATTTATCATTTCGGAGAAGCATCACTCGTATTCATCATGAGGATTCTTGCCTGTCTGAACGAGATACTCAGAGTTTCAGCCATGGCAAATCATTTCAACTCCCGGATGCAGCGAAGTTTTCAACAATCACCTTGACTACAAACATCTCCACCATCTGGCGTTTGTGAAAGCTTTTCGTGAGATCTGTGTTGATAATCTCGATCTATATTGTTCAACACGTTCATTTAGATTTGAGCTCATTCTTAACTTCCCATCAGAGGATTCGCAGTGAGTACAAAGACTCAAAAGCTAAAACCTTCACTGTTAAGCTGAGCTTAGCTGCAAAACTCGAACAAGACCCAACCAACAATAGACAAAGCGCAAGTAAATTGTTATCAAATTGATTTTAATGGAAATGTGCGATAAAACTACGCACTAGTTACCTCCCTAGAACAGAAAACCGACGCGACAAGGAGAATCAACTAATAGCTGATAATTTCCGTCGTATTGTGACAAGAGGAACAGGGAAACTCAATCACTCCCACGAATTAATCAGTGGGATTGAGCGCAAATAAAGCGAGATAATTCTTAGTTAGCAGCTATAGCCAATTCAGCTGTCATAAACACAGAGAACACGTCTGTCTTCCTCCCCCGCAAAGCAAAGAAAAATATCTCTGTATTTGTGATAACCCAGCGCTTTAATGAGCTGATCATATTCAGAGAAAGAAACGCTAGTTTAGAATGCGATCTTTCTGACCTTGCGTTGAACTGACTCTCTTGTTTTCCAAAACGACAAATAGTTTAGAAAATAGCAAACTTGTTTTGTTTTCTTTAGTTAAGGGTGGATAACAGCTGAAGAAGTTTCACTCACAGATTCGGGAAGGAGAGAGAGGTTTTAACAAAGAGAAGAACGAGCGAAAAAGGAATTCTCCTCGCCGACATGGCTGTAAAGGTACTACTATTGTATACAGAATTTCTTATCTTCCAGGACTTCAACAGTTTTAATAGGTATTGACCACTGATTTTTTTAACAAGAGTGTTAGCTGCAGTCACGAAAGATAAAATGGCTTTTCAAAAACTAACGAGAAAAGAAGGGTGAAAAACAACCTTAGATCATATCACAACCTCCCGCGCATGTATAAGCACATAATTATTTTCATTCTGGTTTTTAAAGCGCAATGTTTCCACAACAGGAATATGAAATATACTTAATTTCTAAGAAACTCTTTTAGAGTATATTGGAACTCTGAAGCATTTTCATTTCATGCAAATTTAGTCGGTTTTTCCGTAGGTAATTGCAAATCAATTTTTTACAGATTTTTTTAAGATGCTTTTTTGACACACCGATATTGTAATGACCTTTTGTTTATGGCAACAATCTTCAATGTTGTGCTCAAATATTTATGTCAGTTTTTGTTAAAGGTCTATCTTCTGGACTTAAAAGATCATGTTAGTTGTTCACTTTAAATAATACCACGTACTTTGATAAAGTAAAATGGTCGCCAGTGTTTTTTTCTTTGTTTTAAATATTTGGCAAACTGATGTAAACTTCCAACAATATTTTCAATCAGGCAGATTACATTTATGCTAATTTGTCGAATCATACCAAATTTGCTATCTCAGTTTTCCTTTTTTTTTTTGATTTTTTTCTTCTGAGAGAAGTTTAGTGATACTCTTTGTATATAGAATTGTAGCAACTTGAGTAATCGATATGCCCTTGCGCAATCTTGAGTAGATTAGCCTTCCAAAAACGTGGAGTACTTTAAAAGTTATTAGTTTTTCAGTCTAATCAAAAATGATTTGGTCGCTTTTGAATCTAAATTGCTCTCGGCGATTGGTGTAATTAGACTGCTCCGCTGATCTTCAGGGCTATTAGTACACCCTTTATAAATTAGCGCCCGCCTTCATTTTTTAAAGAAAATACACCTTTTATAATTTTTACTGATTTTGTTGCTTCGTTTAGGATCAAAGTGTTTTACATATATTCAGTGGTAACAGTTTAGTTGACTGTTTTTGGTAGTTATAATCGCCAGATTTATTTAAAATTACTTGCATGTTTTTTTTAAACTCAAAGTACATACGAAATTAACAAAGATAAGTGGATTTCATCAAACAGACGAAGCTATTTTTAACTACTAAGTATGAGTAGAGCATCAATGTGGAAAACTTAAAACGTAGGTGTTGAGGAGCTCTACGCAAATAAAGCACTTTTCGATTGAGTACCGTTAAAAAGAAAAAAACAAAGTAATCACAGCGACCAATCATAAGAAAAGGAAATACCTGTAAGAGCCGATAAGAATCGAAAAGACCTGTAAGAGCCAATAAGAATCGAAAGTAAAATCAAGTAAACTGCCTAAAGCGCGGGAAAACATGGGCAACCAAGTCGAGGTTGGTGTTAGTTTTGCACCTGATTGGTGGAGATATTGGCGCGAGTTTTTTTTTGACCAGTCACAGAGCGAAGTAAGGCAAACCAATGCAATTTCGGATTACTTTTGACGCTTAATTGAAAAGTGCTCTAAGTTTGTATCTCATTGATTGACGCGAAGGTGCAAGTTTTCTTAATCAATCAAAGAGCGAGGTGAGCAAACCGATGTAATCCTGCGAAATTTAGATCGCCCGTTTCAAAATTGCCCTTAACTGCGAATGAAGAACATCAACGGCTCAAACTCTTCGTTTATAAAACGTATCATAAGTAATGGATGTTTGTGGTTGTGATTCTGTGGAAACAGCCACTAGGCTACAGACAGTACAATTCAACTGTGTTCGTCAAAAAGTAACGACAGCAGTTTGGCTCTGTTTAAATTAACCACTTTTTTTTTTCAAATGCGCTTAGTTGGAACAAGTTTTACTACCATTTTATCAAGTTTTGTTTTTTCCTCATGAACGTTTCTTAATTTAAAGTGTATCTAAAGCACTGAAAAATTGCAACTATCAATTGAAGCCGTTAAAGGTCATTGCCACGATTGATTCAGCGATGGAGGAGGTTGGACGAGAATGAGTAAAGCACACACTAGCTAACTGCTTTCTACCCTAGGAGCTAAATTAAGAAATACGGACTTTTCTTTGACGCTACGCGGTTCTACAGACAACTGATCGTTTCATTTCATTCTTGCTGTGTAGATATTGATAGTGTTGAGTCTAAAATGAATCTTAACACAAACCTAACTATCTATTTCTAAAAATAAAAGATGTCAACAAAGTAGAAGGCTAAATCAAGATGCTGTGGGTGGTTAAGTGTGAGCACACGCCAAAGATATGTCAGCTTGCGGCTCATTCTCCTCATTTCAATCCCTTTTATGCATCGAACCAAAGAACACACAGAGTCGACCTGAGAATTGAACAGCATTTTTGACTTAAGGGGGGAGTTTGGTTTAATGCATTTTGATTGAAACAGGACTCCACTGGCATGTGATCTTAAGAAGGGAAACGTAAAGAAGTTTCTAGGATATTTAGAATATTTGAGAAAGGAAAATGGAGAAAGACAATGCTGAAAGTAGATACTGAAAAAAGTGAAAGGTGATCAAGATCTTAACCTTCCAACTCCAATGAGTGACCAAGACAGAATTTCTCCTTACAATATCATTGCAACATCAAGTAGACAAGTGATGAGAATAAAGAAAAATATCGCAAGGGGATTATTGTTTGATCCAAGACCAAATTCTCCAAACTAACAGCACGAAAATTGTATGGCAGACATTATGGAGAATTACGATTGAGATCTGGAAGTTTAAGGGTTAAATTAAATGGACTAGGACCAGTCAAAACAAAGTCTATTCAACTTACATCCTTTGTTATATTTTCAGCAACGTTTGCCACACTTCCTCTGTGGGTTTTATTTCTCTGAAGTAAAATCTCCGAACACACTTAGAGTGAATCTAATTTCTCATATTTGTAGGTTGAACTTGAAATAGAACTTGACGAAATGGTCGTTTGAAAAAAAGAAGGGATTTTTATTGATAGAAAAAATACCATACATTCACAGACTTGTTGATAACGTACAGTATCCAATGGAGAGAGAAACTTCCTTGGTATTTAATTACAAAAGATAAAATAAAGAAGCAAAGTTAATGAAAACCACCCATGGACGAATTTTTTGAAGCTGCTGAACATATGTTGGAACCATTGGTAGAACTTGCCAGACTTCGCTTTTAAGAATTGTTGACTCTGAAATGCTTCAGTACTTCGTCCAAAATTAACGAATAACACGAAATGGTTTGGATATTGTAACATTTCTTACGCTCGTAAAGGACACAAAGATAGAACATGCGCGCGCACAGGTAGTCTTGGTTGTCCGATTAAATACAACGTTAGGCTATAGGCCTGAAATAGTATTGAAGATTTCGAATGTTTGAGCTTTAGAAGAACCCACCTGGAACGATAGGAACGTATTTTTATTCTTTATGTTACCACATAACTGCATAAACCTAGATATCTTGGTCACGAACAGATTCACGTGTGCTTTAGGGTAGAACTTATGTAACGGTCACGAGATATCACGGGAAGTCGTATAACTTTCCTTAGTCATGCACAGCTATAAGTTAATAAAAAGCTTACAACGCTATTTACTAACAAAAACAGAAGGAGAACAAAACGAAATCAACCAGTAAGCCATGGTAGGTGGTGGTATTTTGTCGTTGTATCACACAAAATCAAAATTTTCCCTTTATATGATATAACTGAGTGCTATACCACTTACTTCTCCATCGTGTAACTTTCTTCTGAACTTATCTTAGACAATATTTTGACTAGCCTTTTATTTTTAAATCTTCCGCGACTCAGATAAGAATGATTTCCCTGCAACGACGACGTCGAAAACAATTTTCTTTATCATGAAAAATCATTCTTCAACAGCTTGCTTAAACCTATTGACAAAACTGTATATTTTTAATGAAAGCTTAATGACTTCAAAAGAACAGCCATACTTGGAATAACATGAACATCTGATAAAGTCATTTTGCCCGTTTTAAAGCCAATCTTTCAGTACCTAAAGCTTGATGATATCCCCTCCCTCTGTTCTCCACACTTTGCTGGCTGTTTTCCAGCAGCGGCGGCAACGGAGAGGGGACTCCCTAAATTGGCCTTCACACTTTGAACTCCTCCATACTATTCCTTATACGTTACCCAGGGCGCGGACAAGGTTACTTTGTAATTTCTTTCTTAGTTGGCGATAATTTCCTTAATTCTCGTGATCTAAATGTTTGATTCGGTGATAAATTAGATGCTTCTCATTCTCCGGGACTTAAGTGTTGATGGGTTTTGCCGCCTTGAGTTTTAGATACGATTTAGCCATTTTTTTTGTTTTGAAAAGGTTATCTTTAAGGATCGAAAGCGTCCAAGAAAGTTTGAGTGGTGACAATGTGCGCTTTACTTGTGTGTTCCTAACAGTTCTTTTCTACAGCGAACTCTTATTGTTCTGTCTGATGTTAGATGTGGATCTACGAGGTCAATCTACACATTTTGCCTTAGACCGTGCTTTCTCGGGGCTGAATGATATCACGCTATACCTTTTTAAAGGCTTAGCGAGACACCCTAACTACCTATCCTTCCCCACCTCTAAGTTGAAAGATTCCCATCAGGTGGCCAGGTTCAACATTGACCCGAGAAGCCGTTAGTATGCATGAGCTTTAGTTATGCAAATTGCATCGTAGGAAAAGAATAGCTTTTTGTATCATGATAAGTTACGAAATGAAAATGTTTTGGCCTTGAGCCTGTTGAGCTCCATGCAGGGTGTAGTCTGGACAACATAAGTAAAAACTAGCAAAAATACAAGATACGTAGCAGGGAAGTCCTTGCCTAAGGACTGTTGAAGCGTCCATTATATGGCGAAGTTGAGAGAATGCAGATTAGGAATATATTCTTTCGAAAGTGATTGCAACGCTTGTGGTGTTGCTGTTCTCCATGTCGACGGGAAGCTGTACTGTAACAGTTAAAAAATTGTAATTCAACAACAAT